AATCAATTCTTTGCTTTAGCTGTTGCTGCTGCTGGAAACAACTGGAACGTAGCTACTCTTGCTCAATCTATTCAACAACTGGTTGCTCAATTTGTACCACAAGTCGGTCGATTAGATATCAAGTAAGAGAAAATAGTAGAATAAGCATGAGGTTTGTTATTTATTTTTTAGTTGGGAATCTCTTGCTAATCAAGTGCTTACTACTGCCGCAGGTCTTCTTCCAGGTCTTCTTTTTGGTATGTTGGGTAAACGTGAAGCTATCGATGCTCGTCTTAATGTTAATGATATTCTTCAATTTGTTAACAATAATCAAATACAAAACTTCGTTCCACAAATTCAACAATTCTTAAATGGAGATAAATTACAACAATTACAAAACCAATTCTTCGCTACTATTCTTACTGGTGCTGGAAACAACTGGAATGTTGCTACAATTGCTCAAAATATTCAACAACTCGTTTCACAATTTGTACCACAAATCGGTCGATTTAACATTAAGTAAGAGAAAATAATAAAATAAGCATGAGATTTATTATTTATTTTTTAGTTGGGGTGGTATCGTTGACAGTGTTGTAAATGCTATACCAGGTGCTTTACTAAGTGCTGCACCAGGTCTTCTTTTTGCTTTGTTGGGTAAACGTGAAGCTACTGATGCTCGTCTTAATCTTAATGATGTTATTCAATTTGTTAACAACAATCAAATACAAAACTTCATTCCTCAAATTCTACAATTCTTAAGTGGTGATAAATTACAACAATTACAGAACCAATTCTTCGCTACTGTTCTTGCTGCTGCTGGAAACAACTGGAATGTTGCTACTCTTGCTCAAACTATTGAACAACTCGTTTCACAATTTGTACCAGAAGTCTCCCGAATAAAAATAAAGTAAAAGAAAATAATAGAATAATTGTAAAAATTTATTATTTACTTTTTAGTTGGAGTTCTATCGCCAATACTGCTTTAAATGCTGCTGCAAGTGCTGCACCAGGTCTTCTTCTTGGTTTAATTGGTAAACGTGATCTTGGTATCAATTATCAAGAATTGTTAGCTCAGTTACCAGTTAACAAACTCACTGAAATTATCCAACTTGTAAAGAATACTGACAAAAGCAAAGTTTTAGCTACTCTTGTTAAACTTCTTGCAAAATTCTTTCCTGCTTATCAAGGCCGTATTAATTTCGATGATCTTGCCGGACAATTGATTCAACAATTAAATCAAATGTTACCTATGCTTAGCCAATCGCTCTTTTCTGGTCTTTTGGGTTAAACATGGGAAAGGAATGAGTTTTTGTTTGAATAAAAATTTTGAGTGAAAATTTGAAATAATGCATACTGTTTTATTCCTTTTAATTATCAATTTATATCATATGATATTCGTTGTGAGATATTGAGTTAACATGAAAGATTTTTATCGTATAATCAAACATTCCTAGCTAAGTCTGAGATCATTTTTAATCGTTGATGTTTTTTCTGATGTCGACATGGTTGTTCTCTACAGATGCAACGTTGTTTGAATTTTGTCTTAGAACGTCGATGACTTAAACGAGAACATTTGTTTGACATCGAGCAAGATGATCTAGTACATGGATGATTATTATATTCTTGTTCTTGTTGATGATCAAATTGTCGAGGGAAAATATTATTGAGTTTATCGGTAGAATCGAATTGTCGTTGTAAGTAATGATGATTAATAAATCTATGTTCTTTCTTACTGGATACAAGGAATACATAACATACTAAGAGTAAATAACACCAAATATTGATTGATATTAATCTAATGTCAAATAACATTTGTTATTTGTTATTATAAAAAATGGAGGGAAATAATGCATTTTATATATAAAATGTTAAAATATGAAAGAATTGAAACAAACATTCTGTTCTCTTTTAAATTTACTTGAATTAGTCTTATGTATAAACAAGTATTATTACATCATCGTCATTTCTTTATTAAATATATATATATAATCTTGTTTAAAATGCGGAAAAATATCTTATAAAAATAAAACAAAAGAATAATAAATAGTTACTAAAATAAATGAAAAGTTGAAAATTTGTCTTTTTTTGATCGCAATCTAAGTTATTTTATCTACATTGCAACTATATCTAGGCGTCTTTCATAATACGATAAAAAAATTGTTGTTTATTTCATTTATAAATCATTGTCATCAACTATATTAAATTTAACTCGACGAGTACGACGACGTTGACTTGGTTTAAGTAATACCTATAAAGAATTTTACAAAAATGAAAAAAAGAACAAGTATTTTATGAAAAACAAACTTCGTGAATAAATGGTTGAACTCCACCTTCTGGAATGGTTACATCAGTACATAATTTCGCCTAATAATTTATTCAAAAATAGTCAGTAGATAACGAATATAAAACTTACAAGTTCATGATCATTTTTAATCGCTAAAGCAATATCTCGAGGTGTGATACGTTTTCGTTTGCCTTTACGTGTCATATCACCTGCCAATTCTACTGTCTCGGCAACCTATAGAAGAGAAAATATAATAAAATTAAAAACATACAAGAAACTAATTAACTCACCAAATATTCAAGTACACTAGCTAAATAAACAGATGCTTGTGGACTAATACGTTTTGCATATCGACCTTTACGTAAATGATTTTCGACACGAGAAACAGGAAATACCAAACCCTATTTATATATATGAAATATACCATTGTATTTTAATTGTATATAAAATATAACTTACAGCTTTTTTCGAACGAGTCATATATCCACTACTTGTTGAATTAGTTTTGTTCGTTGATACATTTTTATCGGAATGTTGTTATATATCATTGTTATTAATATCCAATTCATAACTTGAATCGGTCGATAAACGAAGTGTTCCATTATTATCAGACAATGAATGTGAAATAGAATTTGTATTAGTAGAATTGTTTGCCATTTTTGTTTAGTTTAAGTTACAGTCGAACGAAGTGTGAGATGGTTATAAAGTTTAAATAAAATTAGTTTAGAGTATTTATACATAGAAAAAAAAACATTTCTTTGACCGTTATATTCGTTCGTATTTTTCTTTAATTTATCCATGTGGTCATAAGAACAGAATTACAATCAATGGACAACAATATCGCCTATGTTTAATAGAAAAATATTCGAATGAAATTAGTGTAAACTAACTCACATGTTTTGTTGTATATAATGGACTATATTTGAAAATAAAACGTTGTATTATTTGTTTATCTAGTAATTCAATTGATATAGGATATTGAAAAATACTGAACACGTCTGCTTATTTGATTAAATCAGATTATTTATTGTCTCTAGCAATTTCTTTGTATCTAAATGACTGACGAAAACTATACTTTGCTGAATTGTTATAGTCTTTGATAGATTTTATGATTGCTATTTGTATCAAAACAATTCGAATTCTAGATGTAAATCCATACATCAGTCTATTTGAATAATATAGTATGTAATTGTAAGTGAAACTGATCCTAAAATTTCTCAATTAATCTGGTTATCGTTTAAAACTGAGATATAAAATCTCTTGATTTTCAATCGCATCCGTATTATTATATCAAAGATTTGATAATGTTTTTATTTATCTCTTGTATGATTAGATTAATTGTTAGTAAATAATATTTTTACAAAAATGACGAAGAAAGGAAACAAATATTTTTGTATCTACTCTTTCATCATAAAAACTAATCTTATCATTAATAAACAAATGACAAAAAAAACTAAAGGACTAAATTTTTTATAATATCTTAGTTTATATTACATAATATCAAATATTAATGATATTCTCCTATTTAAATATTTCCATCAGTTTAGTTATTTTATTAAAAATAACATCAATAGATGGTTTGGCGACTAGTTGTCAGAAAAATCGATTTATTGATTATAATCAATTGATAGAAACAACTTGTCTAATAAACGATTGTATACGCTTATACATTTGTTCCGATACTTTACCATGTAAATGTAAACGTGATTTTGTTGTTCAATATAATGTCAGTATTGAACATGACGATGATCAAGATGATGAACATGATGATGAAACTGATGCACAAAGGTTCCTTCATTTCGGTGTTATTACACAAGCACCAGTTGGTCATAATCGAACAATAATTGTAAGTTTCATAATTATATTACTTTAAACTATTCTATATGTTTTTCTTTATAGATTGGTGAAACTTATCGATGTTTTTATGATGAACGTGATGTAACAACTGTTTTTTGGATTAGACCAAATCGACAAACATATTATATTTTATTAGTATTATGTCTTATATTAGTTTTTGCTATTATTCTTGTACCGATAATGTATGTTATTTTAATTCTTAAATTTACTAATTCACAAACCAAAAAAAAGAATCAAAAATAAAGAAATCACAGTTTAATATCATATTTTTTTTCTACATCCATTTTAAATTTTTCTGTTTTCGTATCAACAGCCGATTTTATTTTCGAACCCACATGTGTTAAAACACCAGAATCTTGACGTTCTAAACGTACTTGAGTACGTATATCATTTAAAACTATATCAGGAGTACGTTCAACAATAAAACCACCCATAAAAAATTCATTTACGATTTGATTAACTTTATCTGAATGAAATATTAAATCAAGTTCACAAACATTTTCAAAACTTTGATCTAAACATTGAACAAACATATGAATAACTTCATACATATCATATTCTGATTCACTTGAATCAATAGCAAATACAAAATAAAGTGTTGCATAATGACGATAAATTAATTTATAATCATTATATTCAATAAAATTACATGCACCAACATCACGTTTTGATATTATTTGATAAGTTTCTCGAAGTAATTTTTGTTGTAATTCAGTTGTACATGAATCAAAAAATCTTAATATACGAGCTTGACCCCGAGTATTAAATACAAGTAAAGCTTTGATCATGGTTTGTTAATAATCACCTTTTCTTTGTCACAACACAGGCGGCACACATATACAAAGACAATATTTATTACAAAAAAAAGAAAAAGAAGAAATATAAATGATAAGAATACACAAACACATACCTTAGCTGACAAAAGTAGTATAAATGGAGAATATACACGTGGCAGACAGAAATAGAAATGATTTCTTATCTTTAAAATTGAAATACATTTACTTAATGTTTTTTCTAGAAAAAATAAGTTATAAAAAAGTACTTTAGATTTTAAGGACAAGTTGTACATTAGTAAGTTATTATTGTCTTGAAAGAAAACCTTATTCAAGGATATTAAACAATACATTGATTTACGACTGTTGTCATTTTTGTTTACTAGTTTGTCTTGTACACAGGATTTAGAAAAAGATAATTACTCTTTGTCTACTAGGGACATGGTTCATATGAATATATAGTCAAGGAGATTGTAAAACATATGAATAAAAAGAGGTAGTATCGTGAAAATTGTTTGATATACTTTAAATGACAGTTTATTATTGTATAAACAAATATGATATTTATTAATAATTATCGATTGATCAGTTACCTTGAAAAATATAATTATGATGAATTAGTCATACCTTGGAAGTAATGTGATGAGAAAAAAACTTAGATTCTTATAAATATCGACTCTATATTCTTTCAATATTTATCATTCAATGTATAAGTGTATGTGTCGATCAATTTTGCGAAACTAATGCCAATAAATCTTTTCCGATAAAAAAATCTTCAATTATTTCGCTTTGAGAAAGTAAAAATTTAATTAATAGATTCGTTTTTAAAGTCTTTTTCTTCTCTTCTGTTATTATTACAAACAGATATAGATAGAAAAAAAACCACAGGAAAAAAAAAAGAATTGAGATGAACAACATCTGAGCATTCCACAATATAAAAACAGGAAAAAAATAGGAAGAATAGACGGTGAGCGTTTATGCACAAACATATATATTTATATATAATATAAAAAACGAAAACAAAATACTGCAAGAACAAAAAGACTAGACGACTGTCGAATTTGTATATAATATTGTCGAATCTAAAGATTGTTGATCTAAAACATTATCTCGACTCATATACAATTGTTCAAATCGTCTTAATGCATGATCAGCTAATCGACCTGGTGAATTCGATGTTGGTAATGGTAATATAGTCCTTTGTTGATGTTTTTCTTCAGGTTCAAGTTTAAATCGAACACGTCGTGTCGTATCTGTACCATTTGTTGATGATACTGGATCATTTAAACGAGTTAATAATGTTGAAAATGAGGGTGGTGAATGTTGATTTTTTTGTATAATACCTTCTTTCATCATTGTATATGGTGGACGATATGAATTATGTGGATGTGATGATAATAAAGTAATACTTCCATTTGTCATTGGTGGATCGGATATATCTGATGAACCACAAAATCCATCATCGGAACTAACAGGTGTATGTGGAGAATTA